ACATACATTTTTAATGTTATTCCTTGCAGTTTATTAAATCAAAAATAGAAAGAGGAAACTGGCACCGGTAAATTTTAAAGCAAACAATCATTCTTAATACTAATACTACTATTTTAAATGCGAAAGTTTAGGTGGATGGATGTTTGTTAGAGTTTGTAGCCTAAACAACTGAACGGATTTCGATAAAATTTGCTATAGATATAGAGGATAGTCTGGAAGAACACATAGGCTATTCACTTTTGTTTTTTTTTAATTTCACGCGGATGAAGTCGCGGGAGTCAGCTAGTTTAAAAAAAAAACAAAGCAAAATATCAGTCCCTGTTCGCTATTCCAGTATCAAGTAAAAGTATCACGTTTCTTCGTAAATTACAGACAACATTTTGCTGTGTAATTAATTAAAAATCCTTCGGATTTCGTGATTTATTCTCAGCTAATTAAGACCCTTAACAGCTTCGATGTTTAGGAATGTTGGATAGAAATTACAGAAAACTATTAAATAAATGACAATGATTTCCTTCGATAATGCAGTAATATATTAAAAAGATTTATAGCATTAACTTATATTAATTGTAACACGGCTAAACTCACGTGACAGATGTAGGCACCGACCAGTTTCGGTAGACCTTCACCCTGAAGAAGGACCCCCGACGGGTACGAAACTGGTCGGCGCCTATACCGAAAGTTGGCACATGAGTTTAGTTGTGTTATAATAAATGTAATTAAGGTATTTTCATATATCATCATCATCATTATCATCACCACCACCATCATCATCACCTTTTGACTACCCACTGCCGGTCTTGACCAATGCCTTCTTCAGCATGTTGTCCTCCGTCGTGGTATCCAACGACGTCCCGCCGTGCTTTATGTCAATTTACCTGGATGATTCATCATTTGTAATGAAAAACCGTAATAACCACAGCTATGGATTCTTAGCATTATTGAACAGTCGAAAGCTATATTTCCTAGCAACATGAGTTAAAAATAATTTGAAACGGTGCAACAATAAGGAAACATGTCATAAATTATATATTTTTATTGGAGTGTCTGTTCGTAATATCAAAAGAAAAAAAGAGGATGTATTTGCGTTGCAGAAAACGAATATCGCATTTAAATTTTTTTTGTCTATCTGTCTGTCCGCAAGCCGCGTTTGGTCCGGGTAATTTCTAAAATGGCTGGGTCGCTTCGACCGGACTTTCTCTGAAGGGTAGCTGACATAGACGGGCTACTTTTTTATCTTAATATTGCGTGGACGAAGTCGCAGCAACAGCTAGTAAATTATATACATACTAGGGTTGTAGTACAATGTTTGATTCTAAATGGGAAGCAAATTTAATTCTGTTTACATGTATAGTGAGTGAAACTTGAGGCCATGGGCAACTACGTTCATATAAAACAGAAGCCGGTAAAGTTTCATAAAGTTTGTACTCGTAATAACAAAAGTTTTGATGAGCTTAAAACGGCGAACTTTGTTTAGTCGACAATAATGTAGGAGGCCATTATGTGTGAGGAATTTATCGATGCAAAAAATATGTTGATGAATGTTACCCTACTGACGAAGAGGGTAATGTCCCGCGAGTATGTAAGTTTGTTTTTATGTGTGTTTGTATGTATGTAAATTTAATTGTTAATAGTGGGACTAAAAGGTGGGATAGAAAAAACATTTTATTCTCAGGTGGGGATAGAGCGGGGTGACGGAAGGGAATAATCCGAATGAGGTGACATTAGATTCGACTTTTCCGGAGTGTTATAGGGTATATTACATCAACACATAATACCTACAGTGGACGTGAGACACGAATCTTAAAAAAAAAAACAAAAATAGTACGGAGTTCAAATTCCACTCGCTGAAGTTTTTTCATTGCCTTTTTTGCTCTTTTTGTGTGCTTGATCAAATATTGTCAGTCGGTTTTTTTATTAAGGTTACAAAATTAGTAATTCATTTTTTTGTAATAATATCACTCCAAACAATACTCTCGACTTCCATTGCGTCTGAAACTAAAGCGAGTGTTGACTAGAAGCTCGAAGACTTGAAGTAAGGTTAATATGGTCTAAGGAGAAATATATAGAATCCATTGTACGAACGACAAAACGCGCCTTGCAAATACCACTTTGATAATGATCATACTTCAAACTTAACATTATTACAAATGCGAAAGTTTAGATGGATAGATGTATGTTAGAGTTTGTAGCCTAAACCGCTAAACGGATTTCGATGAAATTTGGCATAGATGTAGAGGATAGCCTGGAAGAACACGTAGGCTACTTGCATTTGTTTTTTTTAATTCCTTGCGGACAGAGTCGCGGGCTAAAGCTAGTAAAAAATAATAGGAGCTTTGAACGTGTTAAACTTAACAATACGGCAGATTATATTCCGTTTTACGTTGCACAGAATGCAAATATCTATTCCTGATACCAACGCCGTCTTATTTCTGGATCGGATATCGATTTTAAGTTTAATTGGGTCGTGAACAATCGTTAGAGTTAATTGAGTATCGAAATAGCTGATCCAGAGGTTCTATCACGAATGTTTCCGTTACAGTTGCGAGATTGTATTCGTAATGCAATCGAAAAACCTATGATATTTATTTTATACCTACAAGGATCTTATTCAAGAAAGTGCTTTTTTTAATTTGCCAGGGGGCGTTTGCTATTTTCTAGAGTTACAAGTAAGCATAATATTCCCACCTTCATTCTAAATTTTCTCATGTTGAAAAAACCTAATCATTTGTTATATTTTAAACTTATGGATTATTCCCAACCGTCCCCCGCTCTGCCCGTTGAGACAGATGAGAATTAAAAGATTCATCCGTCCTACCTTTTGCGACAAGGGGACGGTTGGAAATTATTTTATTTCTCAACAGTTCTATCTTACTGGTGATAGTGGGACTAAAAGGTGGGATAAATGAAATTTTTTCTCACGTGTGGACAGAGCGGGGTGACGGTTGGGAATAATCCTAAATTATCAATATGGCGACCTTCACTCGTATAGCTACCGCTTCCTTATTGGTCAAAATATGACGCTTCCAAGATAGCGTTTTTAGCTCACAAAATTGTCAACTGTGGTATAAATGTGAAACTTTTTCTATAGAAATACGTCCTAGGTTTTCCGTAGATCAATTACAATTTACTTTGGTAGTCCTAAAGTCGAATACAAAGTGCAGAATTTTTTTTAAGAATTCAGATTTATTAAAAGAAAGATTACACTCAGAAGTTCCATAATTCTCTGTATGTTTTTTTGTTTATTTAAAAGTAGCTGTCCTCGTGCGGCTACATCCACATTAAATTATAAAAAAGATATTTTATTGTTTACATTTGTCAAATTATCAATAGCAAATGTCAAAATGACATGACATGACAAAGCTTGGCAATTATGCTTCCTTGATGTTGGCAGCAACTTATGGTCTCTTTCCCACATTAGGGTTTTTATCCAAAACATTCACTTCATAAGTTTAGCGGCGTGAAAATATATAGGCTAAAGTGTGACGTAAGTGTAGGGCTTTTTATTAAAAAAAGTTTTATTCAAAAATATGCTGTAATTTCTGACATCTTAGGCAACAAAGAAGTGTGTGATTATGTTTTATTATTATAGTATAGATATAGATTATTTTAAGTAGTAAGGTAATATAGTTCAACATCACTTCAAAGTTTATTTAGAACGGATAAAAAATTACTACAATTTTACTTTTCGCATAACTTTTTCGGGTATAACATTAATCATTGTGACGTAAACAGGAAAAACTTTTAAATGAGATACGAAAGTAAACGAGCGGACAAACTTCCGAACGACTTTTAAATAACTAAAGGCTAAAAAATCTACTTTTAAAGAAAATCATAATTTGTCACACCTATTTTCATCATAATTCTGCAATATGGAGGGTCGGCACATATTCTTCTATACATCTCCATCGGCCGTACATCTGAATTCACTTTCTTACGCATATCCTCTTTCACACAATTCATTCATACATTCATCGGCTTCTATTTTTGCCACCAAACACTTTCTTGTTTATGTGACCATCATCTCTTCGCATACTACAGTAACCTTTTTTCTTAGCAAAATTTCAATAGAATTGGTTTATTCCAGTACTAGCTGTTCTCGTGCGACTTAATCCGCATAAATCTATGAAAATTTTAATTTTGTTAACATATGTCAAATTATCAATTGCAAATGTCAAAATGACATGACATGATGAGAAACCATGGCAACCTCGCTTCCTTAATGTTAGCAGCATGTAGGTTATGGTCCCTTTCCCACATTAAGGTTTTTTTCCAATTTACTTATCCCCCAAGTTTAATAGCGTAAAAATATATAACCTAAAGCGTGTCGTAAGTGTAGGGCTTTTTATTAAAGAAAGATTTATTCAAAAATATGCTGTGATTGCTGAGAACTTACGCCACAAAGTAGTGTATGTTTACGCTTTATTATATTAGTATAGATAGTATGGATGACATAATTTTCATTTGGTGATACGTATTTGAAGTTGATATATGTTGCTAGTAGCATTTGCACATATAATCGATACAAAGAAAAAGCTTCATAAAACGCTCAAAATATCTATTTACATAGACTTGTCATAATAGATAAAAAAATTAAACAAAGTGTTACTTAGAGTTTTATCGGTCAGTATATTAAAACACCTTAAACAGCTACTGTAATGGTTTTATTTTTTTTTAATTAAAAATTTGTTTCGTTGATTTTTTTTTTAATCTTGCAACTAACACAAAGTAGTGTCAACCCTGATTTTGTCCACTGGCTATGCTGGAGTAAACCGGCCAGTGGTCGCGCACACTTATTCCGTATGCAGTTCAACTGATTCAATATGGCCTTAGTAATAAAACAACATCGACATTGCAAACGTTTATTTTACGACGATAAGACAATAAATTTATAACAGTCTATGAAAAGTACGGTATTTATATATTATTAGTTTAAATAGCAGCTAATAAAATAGTGTATCAAACTTAAAATTATTAAAAAAAAATGTAAATGACTAGTATACAGATCGGTAAATGAATAAATTCAGTAACAAAACCAGTGAAGCATTTATAATTAAAAATATGGTACATCCAAGTAATCTTACATCTATGTTATAGTAAGGTCAAGACAAATTGGCGCGTAATGGAATGTATACAGAGAGCCTTAAGACGTTTATTTCTATCTAAACGACCTTTAATCTCACTTCATTTTACTCATACACGTAGACAATAGTCAAAAACGTTGTTTTGATAAAGAATAAATTGCTTTAAAAATGATTGGCAGTTCAATAATGAACACGGCAGATAAAATAAAGGCAAGATACACACTTGCGTTATTTCACCGCACGGTCAAAACGCAAATGAGCACCTGTCCTAAACACACATGTACGTAAACTTCAGTCTTTGAACAAAGATAATATAAAAGCATTATGTTTAATCCAAAATCGCTCTTAAATCGAATGCAAAAAAGGTTAATGTTCTTGAACCTAACTCTACCCTAACTTATTTGGCAACGTATCTGGTTATGATATGATTGTTTCAAAACTTTTCACTATAAAATTAAACTTTCAATAGTATTTTACAATGTTTTCATTTCTTGTTATCTGTGATGCGGCGTGCGACAATGTCCTGGAAAAGAAGCGTCGTATAATAAAATACATAAACAATTTAAAAGAAAATATTGCTTACTAGCTATTACTCGGGACTTTACCCGTGTGAAATTAAAAAAATAATAAAAAACCTAGCCTGTATCATTTATTAATAACATAGCTTTTTAACGGTGAAAGAATTTTTGAAATCCGCCCAGTAGTTTTTGAGTTATTTCAATATATACAAAAACATAAATCTTTCCTCTCTATAATAGTAAAGATAAGCCACTTGTGAAATGGTCTCAAACTATACATAGTTGTCTTATGGTGCAACTTAATATGATCTCAAATTATCTATAATTGCCATTTAACCAATTGAATTCAAACGTAACTAATCTGTAGAAGGCAATACCAAGTGAATAATTTACGAACAAATCTCAAGTAACTATTAAAAGTTGTTGATTTTTCGACCTGGAATGTGTTAATTATAGATGACTTACGTCTAGGTACTGCTGTAACCGTAGCCTTTGAAGTACTGTCGCTATCATCAGACTCGGAACGATTCTGGAAACTCGTCTCTAAGGAAAAATTAATGAATACGTATTAATTTTCAATATTTATTTCGTTATAAAAATGGTAATATTTTTTACTTTTACGCAAATAAGGCAAACTTTTGCTTTGAGAGTTCATAGACCGGATATCAATATTCAGTGAAAAAGAAACCCTATTTGTTAATACTTTATGGTTTAAATTATGATTACAAGCTTTTAAGACGTACCCGTGTCAAATCTTGGTCTCCCAGGTAACCGACTCGGCAAATCTTGATTCTCAACGTGATCAAATGTTCGGAAGCCAAGCGCAAATTCTGCGTAAGGACTGATCTCGAACATTTCTAAAAGTAATAATAAATGTTAGGTTTTTTTTTTATATTATAAGGTGGCAAACGATCAAGATGGCCATGGACATCCACAATTGCAGATGTGTTGCCTACCCTTAATCGACGGAGGAGGAGACGCACATAAAGAGGATATTTCCCCTTCCCATGCCTGTGGAAGTGTTCCTTGCAACTGCTTACCATTCTTTGTAGGTTTCCTCGGATGTATTGGGGACGTGTAAATTCTGGGTGTATGAGCATATCTCTCTTTGTGTTCCACGTGCGATGCAATCGCCTCATTTCTGGACTTCACTTCATCAGCTATCGAGTGTCGATATTGTGATGCATAATTTTGCCTAAAAGTAAGTATTTAAATGTTATCTTTTATTTCGTTACCTTACTAAGAACAGAAATGCGTTTTTAGGTGGATGGATTGAAGTTTGTTACAGTTATCCATTTTAATAGATCAACAGATTTTGATAAAATTTAGCATAGATGTAAACTCTGGAAGACCACATATGCTACTTATTTTTTTAATTCTATCTGCGGGCAAATATATCATAATTGTTTAATCTAGGAAGGAAGACCGAATAAAAAGTAAGATAAAGACTTGAATGTACAATAAGTATCGTTTTCCACTATCGAAAAAGTTGTTAAAGGTAGAAACAATGGAATTCTATGGTTATAAATATTCCATTTTATCGGAGAACACGCAAATTTCAACTCAAAATGATGATTTGCATAAAAAGGTTGATGATTTAAAAAAAATATTACACTGCAATCGATTATTTTACCCGACGTTCTTACGGTGAAGGAAAACATTGTGATGTAACCTGCACATATCGTCGAAGAAATTTAAAGATATGTGTGAAATCACCCGCAGTGGGCCAGCGTGGTTGACTACGGTCTAGTCACCCCTTACTTAAGGTAGGCTCCTAGCCCCTCGGTGGGGACGTATAGTGAGCCTTTGATTATGATGACGAATCGATTATTTGGTTATTGTTTATAAAAATAATCGGATCCAATTATCATTATCAATTATAGATTTACTTACCGATGTCTCCTAAATAGTATACAGATGAACGCGAAAAGGCATACCACTAACAGAATAGAACTGCAAATAATCACAAGCATATTCAGATCCAGTACTTCTGAAGGTGGACCAATTTCCTCTGCAACAAGATAATAAATTATTACGTCTGATAAAAGTGTTCCAATAATTTCATATCTATTTCATTAATTTTCTTATCAACAATTAGAAAAGTAATGTATACTAGTTGTTGCTCGCGATATCGTCCGTGAGAAATTTAAAATAATAAAAAATACAGCTTATGTCCGGTTTTTAATCGTAAAAGAATTTTGAAATCGGTCCAGGAGCTTTTGAGTTATTTTACTACATGCAAAAATGCAAATCTTTATTATATTATAGTACAGATTGTATATTTAGAATTTTGTAATAAACAAGAAACTAAAGCGTTAGGTTCACGTTAGGTATTTGAAAGCAAAGGCGTTATGTAAAGAATGTTTTAACCCGAATGCCAACGTAACTTTACTCCCTTTGATAACTCCTGGAGGCACTAAGAATGAACGTTGTATCTACTCTTAGTACCTAAAATTAAGTTTTTAGTTACTAACAAAGTAACATAATGTTTAAATGTAAAGTTACAATAGAGTAGAAATAAAAAGATTTAAACCCTAAAAAAACAATATGCGAAATTCACTACTACGAGTACAAAGAAGGATGGAAACAAAGGCGAAATTGAAATAAACGATATATTCAAACCCTAAACCGTTATATTATTTCATTAACACCCTAAAAGTATATTTCCAAAGATTGTCAGAGTAAATAGAAAATAAAAAATTAAAAGTTAATCACCTTTACATTTTCCATTCAAAAAATCCTCATAGCATAAAGCCGACAAAGTTCTTAAAGATTGTAATAACAGAAGTTTTGATGAGAGCAGAACTCGGAACTTTGTTCCATCAACAATGATAAAGTCTGTCAGAATTCATTTGATGTCAGAATTTCAACGAAATTTATCTCGAGACGAAGGAAGCATTACGTGAAAGTTATTTATGATTCGGTTTAATTCAGCTTCCACGAGAAATACCTTTGTTTCGTACATAATTTGGAATTTAATGTGCCCTTTAGCAAATTATTTTCTGTTACCATATGTATAAAAACTAAATTGTATGATTTAAGAGTGTAAGTAACCAAATTAAAAAAAATCCTCTCCTATAATCAGGGAACTGGTGTCCAAAATAGAGAATCTATCTTACCTCCATCAATAGTTTTAGTAGCATAAGTGTAAACGGTCGATGCTGTTCCGGCGTCATTGACTGCAGTCACTTTAAGTTCGTACCAATTCCCAGGTGCCAAAGAACCGACTGCATAAGACGCAGGTAGAGATCTTAAAGGTGGCGACTGATAGTGACTGTCGATGAAACCCCATCCTATACTAAGTTCCATAGGCTAAAAAACAATATACAATATGACTGACAGACACACAATATTTAAAGATGATGCATAGAAGGAACGTTAACCAAAAATTCATATGTAACAAATTACTAGAGGACCTGAAAATAAATAAAATTACAATCTCTTTATAATACAAATTTTCAATATAATTCAAGAATCGATAAATCAGGAAAACTTCAATATCAGCTAATAAAACATACTAACCGCTCTATTTTCTGCTTTGTGCCATAAATTGGATCCAAGCAATCTGTACTCTACATCCCATTTGGTGACGTCACAACCACCATCATCCCAGCCACTAAGCTGAATATAGATATGTGTGGCGTTGCTCCAAAGCCAATCGGTTGTGGGTGGTGACACCGGTGCTAGGGAATTTAAATAAACTTATTAAAACTGCCAATTTGATTTTCTCGGCTTCTAGTTTATTGGCTAAACAAAACCTATGTTAATATAAAATTACTGATAGAAATAAAGATATAAAGGTAGAGGAAGTCCGTAAAAAGTGTAGATGTATTGTGTGAAAGAGGATAAGGATGTATGAAAGAGCTGCAGATACTGTGTCGACCCTTCTGAAGGACAAGGGCATATTGATGATGATGATTACTGCTAAGTGAATATAAAAATGTCATTGCATTTTCCATTAGCATTATATTTACCTCCTCCTAAAGTAGTAACATCGACATGGGCTGGGGCAGATGTACCAACATTATCAGTCGCAGTAACTCTTATTGAATACTTTGTACCACATTTTAGTCCAGCCAATGCATGTTGTTGTATTCCTGGTAATCGGGTTTCTCTCGCAACTGGCCAAGCCTCCTGCCACGGACCGTCACCTTCTCGCCATGTTAAATTATAACCTAGAAAAATTCTTGAGACATTATACTAGAATGTTACGACTACATCAAGAAGAACATCAATATGAAGGTGAACAGGGAAACTTGTATTTGCAACTGCATTTACACATACTAATAGACCAAGATGATGATATTTTTTTATTATTTGTGTAGAATAATTACAAGGTTTACTTTTAAAGTCTGCTACTCCTGATCAACAACGACCAATATGTCTTTGGAATTCTATTAGCTTTGGTTCTACGGTTTTCGTCTAGACTTTATGCCATTAAGATTAAAAATTCTACAAATTTTAGTTACCATATCTCAATCATTATTATTATTCGTGTGAACTTACTTATGCCGTATGTTAAGGAATCGTTTCCTGGTAATTTGATTTCATCCCATTCTACAACTATGGAATCTTTGTAAGGTGTAGTTCTTAAGGCAGGTGGATCAGGGAGAGGTAGAACTCTTACTGCATACACTACAGAATCCGATCCATATAAATTCTTGGCTAAACAAGTGTAGTTACCACTTAAAGCTTGGTCAATACCTGCGAACAAAGTATCAAATTAATCCCTAGAGTATAACGCATTGAATTTTTAAAAATACCGAAAAAAACCTGATTTCTTTAGGACAACTGATACACCGATTTGATGCAAGGAAACAAAAACAATCAACAAATTATAAAATCAATTACGTTTCAGTCGAAATGATTTATTTTAAATTATGCACACCAAATTGAAGCTTATGCCTTGTTTGAATATTGAAATAATTGTACTAAAGCATATATGCGCTTATATTTCTAAGTTTAATGTTCGTAAGATACGGGTTTCTTACCACGCACAGTTGCATGCGCCATGTTGGCTCATGCAACATGGCTCAGTCAGCCCGTGAACATGGCGCATGCAACTGTGCCGAAATATCGGGAGCTAAAACAATTCAATCGTGGTAAGAAACCCGTATCTTACGAACATTATATTTGTAAAAACCACGACAGTTTAAGTTATATATTTCTAAGTTACTGTAGTTTTATAGAAGTAGTTCTTACTTTTGATTAGTAAACTATCATCTCTATTCCTTGTGAATCGTGGATGGTGAGTGATGATGTTTTGGTTGTGATACCACACTGTCCTCGGTGGAGGGGATCCGACACTCTTGCATTC